GAATGAACATATTATACACTGCATAAGTGTCTCGATTTCTACTTTTTGAAAACAAATTTCAAATTCACCAGAATTTTTAGATTGTCCGAAATACAGCAATCTCGTGATTTAAATGCAATACGATATATATAATATTATACTTCAAACATCGTTGTCATGGTCAATCGTACTGAATATGATTGAACACGTAACGGTGTTATCTGATAGATAAGTTTGAATAATAAAAAATGGATTCAAAATCATTACCATTTGATATACAATTAATGTTTACTACAAAAACTGATATAATAAAAAAAAACATTGTTATTTTTCAAATTTTCTTCTATTTCTACTTAACAGTAATAAATGTTGTGTATTATATAATCATAATGATTTCTGACTTTGAAATTTCTTAGTATTTTCTTGGTTTAACAAAATAACAAAAATACCCAACTAATAGTAAATATTATTTAGTAAACAATAATTACAGAAAATAAAATAAATTGGTTTCACATAAAATGTATAATTATCACAATATAATTTCAAAAATAACATAATATTAATTCAACTCACATTTTTTAATACTTTAATAATGTTTTATTTTAATTGATTCAGGCCATTAGTTTAACGTTAACTTATAATTAATTTACAGTGCTGTGATTACATTGTGATACTGCGATGTTTAAATATTAAGTTATATAATTGTATTTCTTTTCTGAATCGTATGATGCTAGTATTTGGATTGTAGGTCTGGTCCTAGTGCTTTTCCGATATGTTGCGAAATATTTTATTTTTTCTCGTGTCTTCGTAGTTTTAGCATTCAGTGATTATATGTTTGACTGTGTAGGCCACAAGCTAAATATCTATGAAAAGTAAATATATATTTTTTAAGAATTCAAATTTTCTATTCAATCAACTACAACCAGCTGACGGTGTCAGCTTGACACCAAGATGCAATTTCCTAACAATACTAATTTTTTGCTTGAAGAGGTTTTTATTATTCTTAATTCAAATGATTATTTCTTTCGACAATATTATTGTTCTATAATTCTATGATATATTATAAAATTCTAATAAATGTACATCGCACTCGTATTTTGTACGTATTCGCTAAGACTATTTTCGTTATTTCAGTAGGCAATTATTAATTCTCTTGAACGCATCAACACATACGTTTTTAGTTTGTTTTCGATTCAATCTCAAGTTCAAATATTTCGAACCATTCTCGTACAATATCTATTTGTTTGGATAGAAGAGAGCGTCCATTTATTTTTTTATTGAGAGTGTTTATTAACGACAATATTTTAAACACCGGTAACAAAATATATACCTTTATCCTTCAAATATGTTTCCAAATGTAAAAGATACGTATTGTACCTATGAAATATGTTTGATTTCAATCCTTCATGATCGTGCGTACATATTTTAAGTATGATTATATGTGAATAATTTATTCCGGTTATGACAGTTAATAATGGTATTACCTTAATAATAATAACAATATTGTATTACTTACCTTTAGGCTGCAGTCCAAAACAAAGAATTATTATATTTACCTAACTATTATATGGCTATACACTCATCGCATATTATATGTATTTGATGTATGTATTCAGCACACACTTTTAATACTAAGTGAGTTTTGTACGTTTAAGCTACATGCAGCCAAGATTTGTTTTGCACGTACGAACCATTGATTACTGTGCATATTAAACCACCTTTAGTACGTATGAGTATTGAAGAAGAAAATTCTGTCATGATAAATTGTAAATAATATAGGTAACACCATAATATTTCGTATAATTATACAAACAGCGATTATGGGTATTTTTTTTTTTTAATCTACGTTTAATATGCATCATTAACGTACATTTATCAACGAACTTATACACAACTCTTCAGTTGTATTCTTTTTCTATGAATAAATTGTACTTAAACGGTGTATATATCAAAGACTCGGATTGAGTAATTTCGTTCCACTGATATTTCATATTTATTACAGCCCTTAGAAAAAAACCTGCTGTCCTTGCCCCTGTTTAAAAAAAAACAACAACATATAACCACGTGTTTTTAGATGCTGAGCTTGATATTTATTATTTTAAACTATCAAGAAAAACAAAAGCATTAAAAAATGTGATTTTTTACTCAAAATTAGTTTTTGAGTTTTTTGTAGTAACTCAAAAAGCATAAACATAATACAGCAACTTTACATCTTTACCAAGTACTCACGTAAACAATAATATTTGTATTAGCATTTATTAAACATGATACAATTTCAAAAAATGTTGTCCTTTTTGATGATATTATCATAGATATTTTCAATTTTCTTCTCTTTTTTTTTCGATTTATGAGTGATTACATTTTTGTTTTTGAGTAAAAAAGCTTGAAATTTTATAACAAGGTTTTTCTCATACAAGTCTCTCATACTAATGATTTCAATTAAACTATCTAAATTATGTATCTAGATATATTCCCGACCAAGGATACCACTTAAAATCCGATTTCCCCACCATATAGTAATAATATAATAATATATATTGCTTACTTCTGTCCTACGAACATTATAATAGCTTAATATAATATGTGCACTGCACACGCATAATATTATTTATGTCATATTATATGTTATTATAATTTCTAATGAATTGTTTATCAATCGTATGAAATTATTGTTGTTGTGTCCACCGCAGACTAGCGGACGTAATAATATTGTTGTAAAACGAAATAGGTAGGTACTTGATATTCAAGAACATATTATAATTATACCATGGACGTGGGTATATTATGTTTCAAAAACTCATCGGTACAATGATTTACAGTTTATGCGATATAATACAATGGTACTTATGATAGACATTATTAACGATTTGATTATTTTAGTACAAAGACTTAGGTTGAATATTCTATAGTCAAACTGACAAGTCATAATCTCATAGATCAAATATATTACTCTCAAAATATTATTGTTTATTTTTCCGTTGACGCAACAAGTGTGTTTATGGATTTTTTTCAATTTTTTCAAGGGAGATTATCTCTATAATATGTTTAAAAGGTACAGAATGATCATTAACTGTACACGTGCTTGTTTTTTCGTATCTATACACTCACAGCCATTAAAAACAAAATCACGGCTTCTCGAAAACACAACATTCGTGTCTCTACATAATGATGGTTGTTTGAACAATCAACATAATAATTTGATAAAATATCGCATACACTAGGATTTTAATTAGATTTATTCTCAAAAATCTTCTATTTAGACTGAGACACGCGTAATGATTCCCGAGAATCAATAATAAAAAAAAACACATCATTGTAAAAAAAATACGTTTCGCTCCGCTCAGAATATAAAAAAAAAACAAAACAAAACAAAGAGAATTATAAAAGATTTTACACAACTCATAATTTTTTGTTTTGCGTTATTTTATTATGATTTTCACTAGGTACGTAAATTCATTTTTATTATTATTATTATTATTATCGCTATTACTATGTATTCAAATGGAATTATTATAACGTACACTTTAGAATTCCACATTTTTAAAATACACGCAGACACTACATAATAACATAATATAGGTACCTACACCGTTAGTAGAAAGTATTTTTTTTGATTTTATATAAATAAAAAACTGTGTGAAAAAACCGGATTGTTTGCGTTAAAAGTTTCACAATGTGTTTTGTTTTCCATACACACAACACCGCAGTATGTCGAACCGAGATCATACTATTATTATCGTTGTTGCTGTACGAAATAATTGCTTTGATAAAAATCGTCCATGAAGCGCAATTATTCACGAATTCACGACACACATGTTTTTTTTTATTAGTCGTTATCTTCAATTTATGCCATTTGTGTATGTGTGTGTGTGTGTGTTCGTACTGAATTTTTCTTATGCGTAATGGGTGGATAGGTATTTATTTAATACAACTAAATTGAAGACCAGCATTTCCTCGACTCAAATGTTACGACATACCGCGAGCTATGGTCTTCTTGCGGTGTACAAATATTTGATGATAATGTTTTTTATCGTCAACGCTCTTATCAATCGTATCGGGGTTAAACGTTGCTCTAATATTTTCGCATCTATTTATTCGACATTAAAATACAATGTACATGGTATATTATAACGCACACACGAGCGGTATTTTACTCGTAACATTATCGAAAGAAAGCAAAACAAAACTCGTTGTTCTCGTACCCACCTATACCCGTACTTATAATAATATGATATGTTGTTATTATGTTGTTACGATAATTTACCGATGTATTATTATCGTAGAAAATAATAGCTCGAAAGTAGGTAATACATATATTATAATAATAATATTGGCGACGTGCATAATGCCGCAGAATAGACAAATAATGCAAATTATTATTATTTTTTACCTATATAATATATTATATTGTAAATGACAATAAACTGTCTCGCGGATAGTTAAGAAAAAAACCCTTAAAGACACGACGCGTTGGGTTGTGTTCAAACATTTTTTTTTTTGTTCTCACATAATCCATTATACCTAATAATATCAGTCGAACAATAACGACGTACGTTAGTATCGCTCGACTGTGCCCACTACGTCAATGATGTGCGGGAAACACGCTGTCGACGCGACGTCAACATTTAACCGACCGATATAGATTGCAGACTACAATATTTTATGATTTTACATTATTATAACACTGTTGCGATTTGAAATGATTTCGGACGGTATGCGTATAACATTTGATGCTACCTGACCCACCTAAATCACAATCACCGACGGCGCTTTTTAAAAACCGTACCGGTTTCGTTTCGTATAGGTTTCGAAAGCTGCTGTCATTGCACGTGTGCGTACAACGCTCGTCATAATAATAATAATAATAATAATAATAATAATAATAATAATAATGATAATAATGATATGTAACAATTGAAACGTTCATACTATGACGTTTTGTACGAATTATTTCGGACAACAGATTGTTCTCGTCACGGCGTCCCGGCGGGGACGGTAGTCGAAAACTCGCGGATTAAGAAGACGGTTGCGTAACGCGAATGTTTCAATATTATTGGCCTGCGAATATCGGCCGAATATCAAACAATTTTTCGTATACGCAACACTTTAATATACGTTTACTCGTACCAATAATATTACTGTGATAATCGATATAATATTGTTATAATATTATAGCGACGTTCCGCGTTATAATTAAATATATTTATATTGTTTTTGAAAACCGTCGTCTCGAGATGATGATATCAGAGTTTAAAACCGCCGATGTTTCGCCGACGACTGCAGCAACCGGACAACGTCGTCGTACTCACAATAATAATATTTTATAAATTAATATAATATTATCAGTCGGTTTTCAAAATTATGTAAGTACACTCGCCATCTCCTATATAATATACACCGCGATGTTCCGCTAGGATTTACCCATTGCGATGTATCCTGAGTTAATAAATATATTATCATAAATCTGTTTTTTTGTTTTTTATTAGACTCGCATAGACAAGGACTACACATATTGATATTTTTTCGTTTTCGAAACAATTTTTGTAGAGTTTACTTTTCTGAAAATCTTGATCGTTCAACATATTATGTATATTTTCATGAATTTCATTATTTTTTTTATTTTATATGTAGAACGTCAAAAAACCGGTTTTTGTCCAAGTGGTGAGTCCCCCCCCACCCATGCCTAATTGTTATATCCTCGTGGGACACCCTGTATATATGTATACATATTATAGCAACGCTTAACTGACGTAAGTGCAAGCTATGTTATTATGTGTAAGGTGTATCGTCTTCTAGCAGCGCGGGCCGATTGTTAAAGTCGAATATTATTATTATTATTTTTTTTTTTCAAGTACCGTTATGTGCAGTCGCCTCCGGAGTATTGTATACTCCTCTCACTATAATAATGTGCCATGTGTGTTACGTTCGAGGTCAAAGATCAACCGAAAAATTACCATATAATTACATCTGTGTGTAGGTATATTACACAAAGTATAGTGGAAGTAGTACTGTAGTAGTAGTGGTAGTAGGTAGTAGTTGTTGTTGTTGTTATAGGTCGGTAAAGTATTATGGCAGTGACTGCGAGTTGTAGTATGATATATTAATATCACAATATTATAAGACACTGAGTGATCACCTCGCATGCTTATCCACAGTTCATTAAGCATTTATTCAAATTTTGATTTTTTAATTTTTTAAATATTTTGAAACACTTAGATTTTTTATGTTGTGTAGGTTGACACCCAACATGCTCACTGCTGCACAGTTCATTAGGCATTTACTCAAATTCTGATTTTTAAATTTTTTAAATATACTCAAAGAAGATATTTGTAAATACCTACTCCTGTTTTCTATGTTATGTGTCATGGTGGTTATACATAATAATATTCAGTGGTAGTATGGTGTCGTGGTGTGGCAGGTTTGATTTTTTTCAAATGGGTACTTCCAGTTTTCTCAGTACACATACTGAAAGCAGATGTTTTTTTGAAAAAAAATTGATCGCGCATCTAGAAACAATATCGAAATTCGACCGATTAGTTTCTGGGCTCCGTGCACTAACGGTATCATAGGTCTTTATTTTTAAATAATTCGATAATCCAGTACACGTTTAGTCACACTAAAACGTGATGAAACGTGTGCGCCTATTATTACCGTACATTAATAATTATGTTATACCGTAATGATATTATTGCTATTATTATTTTTTTTTGTGATATAACTATATAAGACATAAATATTTTACGCTCGTCTGTTTATCCGATCCGCTCGTCTGCAACTGTATAGTTGTAGCGGTATAGACGAAGCGTGTAAAATTTGAACCGATTAGAAAAATTCGTCGTCGTCGTTGTAGAGTGTGTAATACCTACAGTAATCCAAGACGAACGATAACCCGGTCTACAGTAGGCCTAGTTTTTATTTAGAAGACCTCATCAGAGTGTTGTTTTTTAATCGATCTCTCTACTCCGATACTCTGAAATTTTTAAAAGTTATAAAATTGTTATAAATTACTTTTTTGATATTTTCTTAATGTATAATCGTGTGTTGGCAAATTATTCTGTACATGAGTCTTGAGTATTTCTAGAGGATTTGATAATCTCACAATGAGATAAAACATAAAAATACTATAATATATTCCAGATACACTTGTATTTTATTAAAACTGTTTTCACTATACAACTTAGCATAAACGCTAAGGTAAAGGATTAGGTACCCTCAGGATACAGTACTTATAGTGTAAATTAGCTTCCGTTTGTTACTGGTGTGTTCATCATATTTGGTGATGGTGTGGCCCATGTCTTGGTCAGTTTAATTATACAAATTTTAATTTGTTTATCATACCATGAAATGGTCTAATCATAAATAAATCGTATTTTGCTTAGAATCTCATATCAGCATCTAATTTCATGATATATTTCAAATGCACCTGTATTGTATTTAAACTGTTGTCATTATACAACTTTGCATTATAATATCGTATTTATGTTTATTTGCAGCAGCAACAGTTATAAGAACATAGTTTGTCTCCTCGTCACTCGCCAACCAAATGTCACGTAACCCGATCATTATAAATAAAGAAATCAGTAAATAAATAAATAAATCACTTCGAGACAAGAAATGTCTTCGCCAAACGTATGGGTGGTTTGCACCCTGTTGGCCAGCGTCCTCTGCGGAACCCACGGAGTAAACAGCCCGACCAAAACTTACACTGGATACAAGCTGAAGCCAACGTCTCTGCGCATGATTTATCACCATGACCAAACCATAGCCATCGTTGAGATTGGCGAAGGCAAAGCGCTCCTCAACTGCGAGCTCGTCGAAATCTAGTGAGTAAAAACATATTTTTTATACCAACCTCGTTGAAAAGCAAATGTAGGAAATATTATAATAATTTTTTTGGGGGGAGGATGTTGTCGTTTGGAAGATTTTTGAGCCTAAAGGGACAATAGTATAGTCCTCTGGAGAAAAAAAATTGCCATAACTGCACTGCATCCGATTTATTTTTTAATAACAATTGGTAGCTGCTCACTAGTCACATGTGTTTCGTAAATTTGAACAAATTTAGTAATGTTATGAATACGTCTTGTAATATAAATATTATTATCTCTGTAATATTCTACACAGTTTTAAGATTTTCTTATTGACTATTTCGTCATTTTTTAACGATTCAAAAAATATTTTTTGGAGCCATTACAGACTAACTTTAGCGTGAAATAATGTTATTAAAAATAAATTATCGCGTCAAATTTAAAATTTGTATTCAGATTGCGGTCTAGGTATATTAAGTGCACATATATAATTTACGGTCTGAATATTTTTTAAATAACGACAGTAACAGGGTCATTGCGAGGTAGGTAATTACAATTTTTTTTAGTTTTTAAAACCATTAAATATCAGCTAATCAAGAGTAAATTAATTACTCACACATATTGAAAAAGTTTAAATGAATAGGCATAATCAATATGATCAACGAAAAAGAATATTAACTTGACTGTTTCTTTTCTCTGCCACGGAATACTTAATATTATAGCTATTTTTCTATCATTATCTGATCTGCAATTTCTTACGTATGAGTCAGAACCACGCTTGCTATATTGTTATCAAAAGTAGGTAGGTACTCGTTTTTAATTTATCCGCTTCGTAACCAACCTCAATCGCTGTTCATAACTATTATTCATTTTTGAAAATATTTTTTTTACCTTGTTTTAAGTCATTGCGAAACAATATTAAAATATATATATATATATATATTTTTTTTTTAAAGTTTTTAGAATGACTATACATTTTTTTTAACTGTAGAATATTTTTTCTGAGAATTTCAATAAATTGTATATAATAGAAACCAAGTTTTAAATGATAAGTTAACTACTCATCATAATTTAAAGGTGACTGAGTAGTGGACAAAAAAAATATATTACTGGCTTACCACTCTGTGCCACGGCATGCATTTAAACTTTAAAACTAATTGACTATATACACTCGAAATTTTATTTTCATTAAATTAAAATTTTTAGAAAGTATTCCGTTTCCGGATAGGAAATTAAAAATATATGATGTCTTTAAAAAAATGAAAAAGAAGATTGAAAATAGTAAAAATAATTACCATCTTTTTCATAATAATATAAGGATTCACCATCAAAATAATCACTTAATAATTGTGCTTACTTATCGTTTACCCATAGTAATGCATTTATAAAAAAAAAAGAATACCGAGTGGAAACGACGATTAGCGTATGCACTGATGAACAACTAATAGATAGTGCACAGTCCTGTAGTTGTCAACTACATGGTTTTGGCTTTTGCCGTTTCCGCCGGTTTCTAAACGATTTTTACGCCTCGAGAAATGTGCATAATTAACGATATAGGCGCATGAACCCGAATTCCGTGGTGCCTATAGAAAACGACCGGTAGAACACTACAATTTCTTATAATACTGTGAAAATCGATGTCATTAGAATAACTTCTCCACTTGACGCCACTTTTTAATAGTAATTTAAGTAATTAAAATAAAAGAAATACATAAATAATAATATCGGGCATATTATTGCAGCAACGCCGTAAAACGATTGAAGGAGTATTTTGTCGCAGTAGTACAGGTTAAAATCACAGTGGGTGGAGATCAGTAGATAGGAGAGGGTTTAGCCCCTTAAACAATTCTCAACCCCCCCCCCTTAATTAAAAAATAAATTCCAATTTTAGCTTCGTCGGACTCATCTCATTAATGGAACTTTAAACTTGTTTTCTTATCAAAGGTATCAAATACAAATTTGAAAATTGATTTTACCGATGAAACATTTATAAAATATGTGTGATACACACAATAAAAGTAACTACCTACCTAATAAATATTTTTTCTTAGAGCTTCTAGTAGGAATATTATGATGGCTCTACAGTTATGCTACAAAAATATATTACAATTAATGCAATCAGAGTTTAAAATATCAAACAAGATTAGTCTTAATAAAGTAAACGAACCTATTATGTACCATAATTTATAATATTATATGAATGCTAATGACACAAAAATATTATTTTGACAAACTGTTAGATTGGTAAGGGATTGTGGTTATGAGTATATATTATGCCTCGGGCAGCTTAAATGTGATCTTTATTTAAAAAAAAGTTGCAGTTCAAAATTCCATCTACGTTTTCAACTTAAACGCTGACGACAGTTATTGGGATTAAAAGTATCGTGGTGTTTTGATAAAAATATGTTGCCTATTATTATGTTTTTACGTCAATGGAAGACCGTGGTGACCAATTATCATCTACAACACCTACATAACAAAATTAGATACCAACAAATCGCAGTACAATATATTATCATAGTGTACAAAATAATATAATAAATGCAAACATACAATTGTGGGCAAGGCCCAAACGTCCAGAGTTCCATCGAGGGATGACGAAGGGTCTCCCGTCATGTCTACGTTTCGGGGGATGAATCCGAGTCTTATCGCCGGCAGCGTTTATTCACTTTTCTCTGTAATTTTCTCGGTATTCTCTGCAACAAAGGACACTTAGGGTCATCCGGGTTGATGTATCATAATATACTTTATTATGTTATTATTATTTTTTTTTCTGCATATTACAATAATATTAAAATTGTAGGCACACGTGTTTTGTGTTTTGTTGTGCCGACTGCGCTGTATGAGCAACGAAATAAAAATAATATTAATATTACAATAACGTACGTTTTCGGTTTTTATTATGCGTTCTCGGCACGTCACTCGGCGGACAACAATAATTGTGTTGACCTCTGCGCACACGTTTGCAAAATTAAAATACACTCATTGTTACACATAACAATTATTATTATTATTATTGTGCACGCCACCAGGAAGTGGCGATGGCCGGACAGCAATAAATAATAATAATATTATATTATAATAGTGCACAATGAAGTAACTCGTACCTAAACGAGCGGGCTTATACAAAAGACGAACGTTAATCACAGCAGATAACCACAACTATTATACTACAAAAATACTCGTTTGCACTATGTCAGCCGCTATATCCAACCGGACCGATTTTTATATGAATGCGAACAACATTTAAGTAAGTAAAGGTACCACGATATACCTTGTACTTGGTATATGGTCTATTTTAGGTACCTACGTATTAAGTATTAATTATAATTAATCGAGGAATATTTAATTTATTTTTCGAGTTGTATAAACCTCACATAACACAACAGTAAATCAGAAAACAATATTTTTGATTTTATTCTATTGATTTGGATGCTTTTGATCTCTCGGCGAAGCTGTTTTGGTACAAGCATATTATTTTCATTGGCAATCATACATTATGATCCTATTATTTTAATACATATTTCATATCTTATTATAATCGTTTGCTAATAACACTACTTCCTCCACTAATCACTACCTACGAGTAGGAATAAAATTATGCTCCTATACAATTATAAGCCTGTAAAAAGTTTTTTTTCTGAAAATGTATTCATATACAATATTACACAAGTAATATTAAGTAGGTGTACTTATAAATACCTACCGACCAATCGAAGGGGACGGGAGCTCAGGGTTTAGCCGTCTGTTTACAACACTCATATTACGAACAGATTTATAACATTGAGAGGATGTCAGCACACCATTTATTTCCTCTCTCTGACCAACGCTTACATACCAAATTTAAAATTATCAGAACCAACCCAGTGAAGTTAATTTTAATTTTAGAGTGAATTCACCTATTATCAAGCACTAATCTATAACAATTACCTGTGTCCCTATGTTGGATTTTTACAATACAATTTTATATAATTTATAATTACTTTTTGAAGTGTAAGTTATAATAACTTACACAGAAATTAAAATATCATAAAACAGCCAACTTAGGGACACAGGTCATTATTCATTACGATATCGTTAACATAAACTTTGATAATAAGTGAATTCACTCTAATATTAAAAGTGCTAACACACGGTCGGTTCCGCTAAACGTAAATTTGGTATGTCGGATAGAGAAAACATGTAGTGCACTGACATCCTCTTAAAATAAACACACTTTAATAACATTGTATTATTTATTTACTTTATTTATACATTTGTATACTTATATTAAACATATTCGGGTGCAAAATTTGTTGGATTTTGATAATAGGTAAAAATATTAAAACTTGTCCACGAAAAACACAAATATCGGCCAATGGCACATCACTACACTTCGTCGTATCACCGACTATGCAATCGTCTCACGGTCATTCGATTCCGAAGCTTAACGAGACGACGGTTTTACCACGACGTTGCGCAAGCCCATTAACAGCATAATAATAATAATATTTATAATAATGTATCAATAACTCGACGTGTAAAATAAAAATCAGATCTACGAAAGTCCTAAATGGAGCAGGCTGCAGGCCGAAACCGCAACAACCGGTTGTCGTCGATATTTTATATTTATATTAATATATATTATTGTGTATGCAGTGCATGGTGCATGCCAGTTGATTTGTCTACTTTTCGAAAATCAGCAGCTCGATAAGCAATCATAAATCATAAAAACATGATATTAATTGATTTGTTATTTCCAACCGTAATATTAATATTTTGCCTTTTGGCGTAACAATAATAATAAGTAATAACTATAATATAGTTATAGTATACTATCATCTCACGTGGCGCCATGGAGCATGAATATCACACATTGGAGAAAGATAGAGGTAAAAGTTTGGAGTCAAATTCAAAAACGATACTTTATTAGGCACTATATTTAATTACCTATTATAACAGCTACCATAAATCTGAATATTTTGAAAGCATAAATTGCTGGTATAATAATACTGCAGGCTTCTAAAATGTTCTGTTGGTGCTATTATTTTATTTTATATTTGACGTTTCACAGTACAATATTATTAGTGTAATATTAATAACGATGACGTTATCGTCAATTAAATAATCAACATGACTAAAATTTAACAATTATAATATTATAATAATCTTTTCATGGATACCCGGCCACTGCGGAATAACTGGACATGAAAGAGTGGAAATACTTGCAAAGAAAAAACCTAATAATTAACCCACATCAACGAACCATCTGAAACACAAAATCAGACACAGATATAAAATAAACGATCTACAACCGAGTTAAAAAAAAATTGCAAGACAAATGGCTAAAAATAAACACCAAATCAAACGAAATAAAAAGAACAACAGCAAAATGGAATAACCCAATGTCTCGCAAAAGAAGAGACGAAGTAGTATTAAATCGCCTCAGAATAACCTATTGTTATACACACTACACAGTACACACATGGTCCTCTCATGAAAATAGAGACACCAAAAATATGTCTTACGTGCGGATATCCAACCTCGATCGAACACATCATTACAGAATGTAGAGACACGCTGGAGGTCCGATAAAAAATACAACATACCTGAACACCTTCACTGCGCACAGGGCCTCAACGAAGAATCCATCCAAAATATATTATCATTTATAAAAATGATTAAACTGTATAATTTAGTTTAAACTATTTAAGTAAACATATCTAAAACAAGCCAATAAACACGTCATCGAGGCTTTCTTCTTCGATAAAAAAAAAATATATAATATATTATTAGTTAGGAAATTTTAAATTTTGTGGGGAACTAATGCGACACAATAATTATAGACCTTATTATATTACTCTCATCACTGCCGTGCCGAGCGTGATTTTTTTCTCGAAAAACCAGCATAATAGTATTAATACAGCCATCGTCAAAGTTCATGAAAGTTTATAGCTTCAATTAATTTGGATAGTTCTATTTTATTATAATATGTAATACAGTTTTTTGTGTTCCTTTTAGTAGTATTTTGTTACAAGTATGATTTAATTTAATAATGTTATTATGATAATGACCAGATAGGTATTTACAATAATTTGAATATCAATTGATTTTCCTCGGAAATCGTAATTATAATTAGCGGAGTAATGAAAATCTGATTCACAATCATTGTGTGTAAATATTTTGGGAGTAAATGCTACTAATTATTACATATAAACATTTTTTATATTTTTAAAAATATGTATTATACGCCTATTATGATATTGTCTAACGGGAGACCGATATAAAAATACATAAAAAAAAATATATACAAAAAAATTACCAATTAGTTTTATTAATACCAGAACAATAAATATTTTTTACAAAACCAATTTTATTTATTTAAAATATCAGATCATTTAAGTAATTATTATTATCTAAAATTATGTTATTTAAATTATTTAAATTAGTAAAAGTAGATTATTTTATTTTTTCACCTATAAGCAAAATAGTTTTTTGTAAATACCTCATTTTTCCATTTAAAATACCAAACTGAATTTTATTAATTTGTCGGTGAAATAAAAACTCACACTACCTACCTATATTCATAATCATAAAACATTTTCCGACATTTTTAGCAATATGTTTTAATGAATTTTATATATTGTTAATTTAAAAACAATTTCATCATGATGAAATGCTAACAGACAACAGCGTAACCAAAGGAAATTACGTTTACGTGTAAGAAGCAAATTTATAATTAAATGTAAAATTAGTTGGGCGAGTTCTGAGCATTCATGTAAAAAAAATTTTTTTCTGAGAAAAAAAAACATTGAAAATGGTATCCTTCTATGCGTCACTAAAAGAAAATGTGAATACAGCGTTTGTGCATTATGGCTTAATATATTTTTAAATTATCGTCCTTGCGATGTGACGAGAATAATAAATAATAATATTATTATCCTTTAATAAATTTCGTGAGAAAGAATAATTGCACTTTATTATTCGTGTGCCAAAACTAATATGAACAGTTTGTTAGACCAAAAATCATAATAAAAAAAAATAAAAAATCATTTATTTGTTTGTTTGTACTAATCTTTTATACACGCGAACACAATTGGAATGACAATAGGCCACACGAGTGCATATCAAGGCCGCTTAGTTTTAGGTACCTAATCACTTTGAAAAATTAGGTAGATAGGTAAGTGTAATTAACTCCGATGCGCGTCCACTGTATACCTTCTACGAATGAATCAAATTTCTGTTCTCAAATATACAATGTATCAGTGACATTCCATTAAGAAGAAGCCAGGACACTCCCAGAAACTGTTTTTTGAAATTTCTTTGTATTCAACTTGAAAGGCATACAAATAACTGATTTTAACAACATAATAATTTTTTTTTATTATTATTTATTATTAATGATATCAAACAAATACAAATGAATTTGGTTTCTTAACAATTATGAATGTCGAAGGCTTGTAGCCTGTAATGTGTGGTTCTTTTTCACGCGAAACCGCTTTCTATAGTGATCTAATCTCGTGTAATTACTACGTAACAGCGAACAATGATAGGACCATTAGTAAATTAATTTGATTTTAGTATTTAAAAATAATATTTAATAGTTTAAGTCTTAAATCGTCTTAAAATTTCCTACTTAAACCATCTAAATAAAAATGTGGTGACATATTATCTTAGTTTATAAATTGTATACATAACTACGACAAGTTTACGTGCGATATACAATCCAAAACTACTGAACTAATGTTGATGAGATCATGCTAAATTAGTGTGATTTTAAATTTGGTCCAACTTAAAATAGAGGATAGTTGTTATCTCGATAAGTAGCTATTAATTTATTTTATCGAAGAAAGGACTTTGAGAATTACGATGGACATTTTTGTTTGTAAATAGTTGCTATTGGTTACAGCTTACATATTATAATAAATATTAACAAGAGATATTGTCATTGATTACCTTTGCAGGTGAAGTAAAAGCTTGCATTAAATCTGTCTCGTTTATGGTTTCGAACAAAGAAATTATATCTTATAAAACAAATATGAGAGTTGAATGTATGTCTTTAGCTTATATAGGTACTCAAAAACTACTTAATCGATTTTGTGAAGATTTCACATCGTTCTTAAAGATATCGGGTTTAATGGTCTTAATGGAGATTAGGATGGGGGAAATCCACGGAAAGTTTAAAAAAAAAAAAAAAACGCCGGCTATTAAATGACGAACCGAACACACATTTTGAAACACACAATAGAGTCTATAATTTTAAAGGGCGGCGAAGTACACAGGATCAACTAGTAAACTATATAATATTATTATGTTATTATAGTGGCAGTGATTTTTACTACTTACATTATAATAATCGTATATTTATAGAAAAGTGACAAAGTAATATTAAGACACGTTTACCGGGAATCTTGTTTTTTCCCGTCGTTAAGACTCGTAATACTATAATAGGTATTATATGTATTATTTTTTCCCTATTAATGGTTACATAACAATCTTTCGTAATATGCAAACAATAAAATATATTTTCAGCAACGACGACGAAGGCAAAGAAATGTTGAAAAATCTGACAAGAATCAACAAGCCGCTGCGGATCACCCTAGACCAAATGATGAAACTGATTGGCCAATGCGATCTGTTGGACCCACACCAAGTCAATCCCGAAGAGGTGAGGCTGCACGCGCGAGGTGTCAACGGCGGTGATGAAATGAACTCGAACGGCGTCCAAACGACTACGTCCAGTTCGCTGTACTCGGGAATACTACCAGGTTCGTTAATAATATATTAAATTTTTATGTTTCACGAAATAACGCATCTTTTTAGCCGGCGATGACCACCAGATAGCGTTTAGGTATTAATAAATCCCGTTTACAAAACGTTGTACATTTCGATTTCAATTATAGGACCTAATAATATTACCTAAAATATCCAACATGGCAGTCCTATAAAACATTTACAATAGTGGTATAATAAAATATAATCTCTCTCTTTTTACAATATTTAAGTGGTTAAATTTTCTTTTAAATGTATCAATCATTTGTCGACAACGGTACCGATGGAATGAAGCACCCTATTATGGTGATGCGATCATACTTTTGAATTTCATTCTCAACGTTTATAACAACATTTGGTTTAAATATTTAAAATGTATGGAATTAAAAATGTCACCCGATCGATTTCTACTAGACATAATAATATTATTGACGAATTCAAATAAGATCCCAGAAATCTTAATATGAAGTGCTCTTTGCATAATTGGTTCCATTGGTTGGATTCACTTGTATAGTTACAAATACGTAGGAATGCCGGAAAATTTCCCAAAAAAAAAATCGGAAAAACCGTTTTTTTTTTCTCAGAGCTTCGGAAAATATTGAAAAATATAGAATATTAAAATAATAGGTACATTTCCGAAAAAAAACAATTTTAGAAAAGTTAAAAAATTGTATTCTCGCTTAAAATAATCTAAATATAAGAACCCAATTTAAAAAAAAATCAGATTCAGAAACCTGTCATTGTCTTTTCACATATTTTGACATTGTGGCGAACGTATCACATAAACTATTTTTTTTTTCAAAAAACTATTTCTTCATTCAATTTTTCCAGTAAATTCCAGTTTTTTTTGTTAAAACCATTTTTTCCTGAAATTTTAAATTCCCAATTTTTCGTTTTTTTTTACTTTTCGGAAATGTTGATCCTTATAAATGCGTAAAATACGTCATTATTTACACACTTACCATGCACACGTTGATACGACATGCGCTTATAAAATTGCCTATATTGAACTCCTTATAAACAGTCGGTTTGAAGCCCTTGATATCCCAAATAGGTAGGTAGTATATACTGTATAAAAATAGTAATTACATGTGATATAATAATACTACCTATGGTATATTATTATAGAAGTGCATTAGATAATTCGTTTTTATTCATTTGAAATATCTATTATTTAATCTATATATTGACGATGACTGCAGTCGTGGTGGTGTTGGTCATTGTAGCTTTGGCTTATCGATTTATGAATTGATATTATTTTATTGGCGCACACCGATGGTGACTAGGTATAAAGTAAAATTATATAAAAAGGTTTAATGCAATTACCTATAGCGACACAGAATAAAATTATATTACATAAAAACGTGATCATGGTGAATAATTTATTATGGTTTTTGTTATGTTTCAAATGAATTTAATCCATAGAACATAGATATTTTTAAAAAAAATTTTAAAAATGAATTATTTGACTTCAAATAATAAACGTTTTTACCATCCATAATTTTCTAAAAATGTAGTTGAATTTTAAATTGTCGGTTTTCAGTATTAAAAAATAAATTATTAATGGGTGATTGTTGGAGGCAAAACGGTTTTGGAAGCGTCAGTAATATGTACTTTAGCTTCTTTGTGGACTAATTTTAATTTTAAGTCGGAATATTATATACCTATTTTGTTCAAGACGTAATACGGGGGGGGGGGGGGGTAATTAATAATTACTATACTCTGAAACTTTTCAATATCATTTAAGTTTGATTTTCTTGCATTTCCCCACACTGGGAAAATTAGGGATTTATAGATGAGCAATTTAGAATCGTTGTTAGTGTGTTTATTATTGTTAATAAAATACTTTGAGTAGGCGTAATCGAAAATTTAAATTGAGTCGTTTATATGTCGTAATATGGCACAACTATGGTCTAGAGATAACCCAAGATATTAAGCTGTATGATTTGTGATTGGAATTCGAGTGTCACAGATGGAGACAGCGGGGAAGGTGCAAATCTAAAATCAATCATTGAATAATAATAATTAATAATGAATATAAAACACATATGATAGAACAATAATTATTGTATTATAATACTAATTAAATAATGTAAAGAATTTAATTACCTAAATATTTAGATTACAGAAGTATGTAAATTGTCATAAATATGAGATTTATTCTATAGAGTAGTGTAGGTGTGCACTTATAAATTATGTTTATCGACATATGTTTGTGTACATTATCGTTAAAATTAAAAATGAATTTTAATCAACAGAAGGTTTACAGCTTATATTAAAAATTTTTTCGGTTATATTTCATTGACAATTTCTCTATTTTATACTGGAGAAATGAGTAGGGTGTGATTTGGTAAGTATTCACCATATTTTTATTAAAATTATTTTTGGATTAGACGATGATTTAACATAATAATTTTTCAGAACATTAAAGAGTTAAGATACAAATTATACATTTCGGTAAAATTATCTGCATCTTATTAAGATGTATTTCTTTGTTACGTTGATTCCGGACAAGCTAGTCCACACAGCGATGGGAGGGGGGGGAGGTTGTTGGTTGCATCCATCTCACCAATTTTTAAAATGTAAAATGTAACCAACTTTTTTTTATAAAATAATAATGAATAAAATATTTGGCTATCATTTTTGAGCAATGATATGACGTTATATGCTCCTACAAAATTAATTAACGATGAATCTATAATTATTATATTATACAAAAACACACACATTTACTTTGACTAGGTTTGTACATTAAATTACCTATGTAATTATCGAGTCGATTAAAATCCCCCAGAAAATGTTCTCAAGTAACGTCACACATTCTAAACTCACACTGCAAATATGACGGTTACGAGGGAGTTATAAAATCAAATCAACCGCATACATAACTTAATCGTTACCTACTTAATAATGATATGATATGCATTTGTTTTTGAGTATAATAATTATTATGATAATATGTGCAAATTGGGTTTTCCGCACAGCTGTCGAGTTATTATACTCGTACGACTATTGACTATTATAATGGGAGATCTAGAACAATTATTAATATTGGATCACAATATTATGTAATAAAAGAATTTTAATTATTCAATAATTATGGTATTGTGTAAGCTACGAGCCGATAATCAATGAATACTGCATGTGCCGTCATTATAAACTATTATCGAAACAATTAACCGACTATTATTATTATTATTATTATTCTAACGATTAGCGAACGCCACTAATGTATAACAATTAACAGATTTTCGCGCGGGCACGCTGTTTTCTAAAGTACACTGATAGCGTTTTAACAACGCGTTTCAGATGTTACACACATATAATTATATTATAATAATATATAGATAAATAATTTCACTAATGTTTGTACATACACATAACAAATTATTGACTAAAATATTACGAGTGCGCCATTTATTCTGAGTACAAATTATGAGTACCTGCTTGCATATTACTTTCGAAATCATTTTACCCAGACAGACAGCAGACGAGTGAATGTAAATTTGTTCAAATTATAGCTGTACTAGTTTAAAATAACCAAATCTATTATTTTTTTTTTTTTGTCATATAACAATCGACAAATCGTTAAACATTCATACACGATTTTTGTTTATATAGGTTCCACAATCAAATGTACATGGTGTACGCAGAGCCGTACATTTCCATGAAATTTTTTTTTTCACATAGATTTTGTAATTATTTTTCTTATATTTATAGATTATTAATTGTTAATTAGCAAAAAAATATTTACCGTCAATATAGTTTTACAACAATATAATCTGTGTATTATCATCACAGTTTTTGTTATCATTACGAAATAAGTAATATTAAAAATTTGTAATGCTATTATTAAGTTGGAATTGTGACTACTGCTCCTACCCTAACTCTACCATTATTATGTACTTAATGTTTGCAAACAAAAAAAATAAAAAAATTGAAAAATCGATAAAACGTCAGTGTTGAACAATTTTCGATGAAGTTGCTGAAAATTTCAATGAAAAATAATGTTCAAGCTTACAGCTCTAGTTATATGGGTCCAGAAAAATTAAGTTATCATCGTAATTTTTTTAATAATTAATCGTTTTTTAAAAAGCCATGCTAGCATGAATATGTAATGTTTATATTTTCTAATCATTATTCATTGATTTTTATACTATTATTGGGATGTTGATCTTGTTCGTATTAGGTAGGTACTTTCATATTTGGTATATTGCACTCGTATTACGGCTTTGCATTTTATTTGACTGTAATTCAATCAGTAACATAAAGTGAAATTTACAGTGGACCTATAATTAGGCTATAAGAAATTAGTTTGGACAATTTTTGTTCAATTTAAAATTTTACAATGTGCTCAATTCGTAATACAAATTAGAGAAATATATTTTCATAAAGCACGTTACTTTTCTTCTCACATCTATTGAAATTTTCCCTAGAAAATGCTCGCAAATAACGATTCTGTGCATATAAATATTATGAATATACTTAGCGTAAGACATGTTCGTATTGATTACATTTGCATTATTCTATAAATATTTTAATTATGGCTTAGTTATTTTCATACTTCAAGCGAGCCCCATACTCAAAGAAAAGAAATATTAACATTAATTACAAATATTTAATTTATAGAAAAATTAAAATTACTATCAAATATTTTTTTTTTTTTTTTAAATTGATCCTGAGCCCGGCAACTGTGGCCATTAGCTATTAGTAGGTACTGTAGGTTTTTGTATTGATGGTTTGTATGTTTTTGGTACGGTAGGGGGGAACACGTGTGTGTTTGTTTTTTGGCAAAATTTCGAATGGGGCCCCCGTAGGTTTCTGCCATGCCCCGGGGGTGGGGGATGGCAGCACTTGTTCTCCGGTCACCGTGACTTGTCCGGAGAAAAATGCCGCCCGGTGGCCGAGGATCGAACCGCGACCGGCTGAGTCGCAGCGGAAGAGTCAGACCACTCGGTCACCTCGTCCCCCTATCAAATATTTGTCTACTCAAAAAGGTAGTTATTTCTAAAAGGAATTTTTATATTTAATGATAATTTATAATAATTGTCAACAGTTAAAATAGTTTAATGTAAAATATACACATTTAGGACTAAGTTTGACTAAAGCTATAAATTGTTTTTAGGTACAAAATGGTGCGGCAGTGGGGATCTGGCTTCAACGTATTTTGATTTGGGATCAGAGGTCAAACTAGACATGTGTTGCAGAACACACGATCTGTGTCCATCAAAAGTCAGATCATACGCTACTAGATACAACGTCACCAACGATTCCATGTACACAAAGTAAGTAATAAAGTTATGATTTAAATACAAAACATTAATATAATATTAACTGCATACCAAGTATACACAGAACTACAGAAGGTATTTCTTTTTATATTTTCAGTATAGTATTGACGTATTTGATATTTTTAGGTACACTTGTTTAAGTAATTACCAAAGATAATGATGTACCTAAATCAAGTTTATACGTTAGTAAAATATATACTTTCGTTGATTATGAAGTATAAATTATCATTGATTAAATAATCATATACTATAAAACGCTAATATACAATGTATATGTCATATAAAATATAGTTTATTCAAACAATACTTGTATGTAGGTGTTTAACACATTTGTAGTATAAGCAGATTGCACAATTTATCTTGTTAATCGACTAAGTATAAAGATTTTTTAGGAGTAGTACGAAAAATGTTTCAATAGGCAAATTTAACTAAAGAATTTAAATAAAAACATGTCAAGTGTTTCTATATATTTAGTTGAAGCAGTATCAGTAGATATTATCCTTGTATGTTGCGCAATAAAAAAAAAAATGTTGAAAAAACGTGTTTTTCGTGTGATAGAAGATAGAACCCTGAATGATGCAACCATTGAGTTATGAAATTCATTTTCACTCTATAGATTTACCATTTACAATAATTTTATCCATCTTAAAGTTTGCAGAACGTTCTATTTCTGTATCATATTATTCATCATATTTTTTGCCAACTAACTGGATCAATAAATATATTGTATTATGATATAGTAGATCAGACTTAAGAAGATGCTAAATCCATTAATTATAAATAAAAATCTTTTTTGTGCTTACAAAAACAACTCGGGTTATATAGTTCTAGATTTTTAGTAAAAAAATCAAATTTTCCCCATAAAAGGTGAAAACTTTGACCATGCAATATCGTTTACTGTTTTTGTCAATATCGCTTAGACAATTAATTGTATCTATTCATGTAATATCTTTTACTTAAAAGTTTTGCAAACTTGACATCATTGAAATTAAAACGATAATGCAAATTTAAAACTAATATTATATTTACCTATTTTTTCTTGAAAATTTGGTTTCTAACCAATATGTTACAACTTAAGTAATTAATGCTGCCTCATCGATTCTTCTCAGCATAAAATCATTTTCCTATGTAATTCGGTGTTTGTAGAATAACTATTAATGGTAGCATCACATTTAAGTTACATCATTTATTAGTACCTAAATTTAAAAAACTATCACACTAAATATTATATTTAATTTCATTAATATTGACTATGTTTATCAAATTTCCTAATAAGTGATCATATTGTGACGTCGGTTATATGATTTTTCAATGTTAGAACGAATAATTTTCTTGCTAACAACAATTTTTTTTTAGCATAATTTATTATCACTCAAAATTATTAAAAAACGTCTTACTGTGGTAATATCATAATCTATAGTAATCAGTTGGCATATACACCTATTTTCCAATGACAAGGATTATGAGAAAAAACAGTGGTGGTAGCCACTGATAGTGATATTAGCACAATACCATATTAATATGATAACAATATATTATTATAATTATCAACAATTCCCTATATTATCGATTATTGCAATATAATTATCAATAACTTAATATTATGATATACCTACATGAAGCATTATTATTAACTTTATAAAACAAAACACATTACATGATACACATTGTACTACATTTTTTTACAGATCGCATTGCATTTGTGACAAAACTTTTTACAACTGTCTGAAAAAGGCAAAACATTCAACCGGAGATCTCATGGGAACTTTATACTTCAATATACTTCGTGTGCCATGTGTGGATGAAAGGAATGGAAAAACAGTGTTTAAATTACCACCATTATATTAAATTATATTTTAATGTTTGTTTAATTATTAAGATACTTCATATTGTGTATTAGTTTATTCATATTTATTTTAATATTTATACATGAGTAGAAACTGATGAACAAAATCAAATTATACAATGTACATTACATTATCGAACTCAATGTTGACAATAATATTATTGTCGCAGTATTAATTGTTATACAAGTTTTAAAGTTTTATTAATAAATTTGAAAAAAGGCGTTTAAAATATTGTATTTATTTTTTATGTAGTAGCCAATCGCCATACCATATGTGTACATATTATTTAAATATTATTTGTACATAGAATTATAGACTTCTAAAATTATAATATATAAAACTATAGGTAATCTAAAAACATTTTTTTGGTTTTTATTTACCTAACCAAAAAGTTTGTACGTAAAATATGAGGGTGCTATTTATGGGGGAGATATAGTTTGCAGTAAATAAGTTCATACAATGCGTTTTGTTTTATTATCTATTGTCTTTCATCGTGTAGTATTTGGAGCATATAATTTATTCCAACATAATAAAATACTTTAGATTTTGAGGGTAGTTACAGGAGGTAAATATAATATAGTGTTTACGTTATATTAAAGCGTTAAAGTCATTATTTTTATTCGGACAAAATAAGGATTAGACAGGAAAGCAAAGGTTTGTCGAAACTAGAGTTAAATTGTTTATCACCAGCAACATTGAGGCCCGTTCCATCAAATGATTTAATTAAAGTAGTACAATTGACGTAAATTTGGGGATGTTGACAAAAGTACATTGTATAGAATGAAAAGAGTCTGTAAACTATTACATGTGTATAGTTTATCAATGAGAATAAAAACCACGGTGGTCGTCCTATAAAAATTAATCAATGAATATAGTAAGATTCAATTCAAGACTATAAAGATTTGAATAGCTGAGTAATATAAGACAGATCAGCAATGGGGTGGACGTTTTCAACCTTTCAAAGATTGCCAGACTTAAGTAGAGAAGTAAAAGAGCTAATTTAAAAAAAATGGAGGGAATAAATGCAGTATCGACACAATTTCTGAGTAGAGGACGATTGAATAATAATGGTAGAAAGTAAAAAGTAGTTTTTGTTTTCAGGAACAGATTTCCAGAAGGAACGAGAATTAGGTGAAAGAAATTTTTTTATATTATTTATGGAGTTAATTTAACTATCAAAAATTATTGCATACATCACATGCGTTCAAAACTGTGCGACGATAAAACAAAAATAGTATTATCGACATTTTTTTCAAAATCAAGTTTATACATATTATATTTATAAAAAAATGGTAAGGAATTCAAAAAAAATGTATATTCTGTTATAGTATCTATAATTTTTTATGCGATAAAACTAGTATGAAAATGTACTTTTTTTCCTAAACGCACTATTGAAATAGTAGAATTAAGTCAAAACGTGTTATTTTCATATAGGTACTACAAGATTAAATTTATTATTCACATAAATAATCATTTAAAATAAACTATATTTTATCAAATCTTGTCTTGAAAAAGAAGACAAATTTGTCTACCTAAAGTTATTAACATGTCATCAACTATTTTGATTTTAATATCACCAAAAACCGTGCCAAAATGTCGTAGAATTATTTATTTTTCTACTATGCAATTAACCAAATTAAATGTAAAAGTTCTTGAAAAAATTAAAAATAGCAATAGCACGTTTTGGTTCATGACTAGCACTCAATTCGATATAGATGATGCGTGTTGTTTTTTTTTTTTAAATTAAAGTAGGTTTGGGGGATGAGAGAAGTAAGCTACTTAACACTATTATTAACGGGATGGAAAACAGGTTTTTAGCCTTTATAATGTTTATAAAAATAGAATTAAACTGTATAAAATCATTGCACTGCAAAAACGATTTTGAGTGAGGTCCGTAAGTCTGTATTATATTATCACTTATCAGTCTATAATATGATAGATATTATTGCTGTTAAAGTGATTTATTTAACTATTAGCAGTACAGTCGTTAGAATTGATTATTTTTTCGAAAATATTACATTAGAAAATGTCATTGTGTGTATTAAATTTAATAATATACCTATTTTGAAACTTTCAACTACCCGCGAATAATATTTGTCAATATTATCACAAAAACCATGGTTACAATAATAAATGTTTAAACGTTATGAAAATCGGCCTCGAAAAAATTTGCTGGAAAAAAAAGTGGTAGTTAGCATCAAAACATAATATGTGTTAAATAAAACACACATCGTTGTGTAAGATCAATGCATTTATCGTTTAGAATCTAAAAAGTGCGAACAAGTGAATGGTACCTACAGTTAAAATTTTAAAATTATTTTCGATTGATGATTTCTCTAAAAATCTTGAAAATGGTGTGGGTACCTAGGTTCCTTATAAGTTGCTACTAGTGCACTCCAAAATAGAATCGTTAATGTGCAATATTATATGATTTTGTTTCAGTGTCAGAATTACATCAAAATTGGTCGACCGAGAAAATGTTGCAATTTATTTTGTAGTTAAAAATATGTACAAATTTTTCTTATCTTATCTGTAGTTTTAAAATCGAATAAAAGTTTCTCAGTACATTTTTATATTCATAATAAAAAAAGAGGTTAACTGGAATGCCACATTAATTTTTTATGAACTTTTGAATTTCAAATTTTTACGACATTGGATATTCGTCCATAAAATAATAATACTATTTCTCCTCAAACTGTTTTTGATGTTTTGTTTCACCTAATTTGAATACGAGTAACTGTGGATTTTGACTTGAAAATTCCACAAACCCAACAACTGCTGCGAATTCTGATTCACTTCCCACGCGCGCACTTATGAAACACCCAAATTTTTTTTTAAATGAAACTCCTTTTTTGGGATCTTTGAAAAAAAAATTGAACTTGTTGTGATTGTAACGTTCGGTGACGCGGTATAGAGTTTATGTACTGAACAAGCGCTTTACTGTATCTTATAATATTAATTTATTCATTAATTTGTTCAAGTTGTTATATACGTATCAGTATTGTTTTTGTAATGTTGTATATTGAGTATAATAATAATTAAGTCGCTTAATAGTCGGTGCTCTTACTAACTAATAGTAATAATAATAAAGTGCCAACAAGTAATCTTTGAAAGCGAAGTTAACAACATTTATCGTAAGTACTAATATGTTGCTTTAAGTATATCAGTATAAAATCCAAATACATCGGTATTATATTTAGGCTATTGCCATCAAACGTTGAAGTATAATGTTTATATTTTGCAGCAACAACGGTGACAAGAGCAAATGCAAAATACTGCATCCGTATCCTCGCCATTTTTCTACCAAATTTCACTTGATCCTTTACAATATCATAAAATAAGTAAGCCCCCAAAATGTCTTGCCGTACTTGGGGTGGCATGCACTCTGGTCGTCTGCAGGGCCTTCGGTAAAAACAGCTTAATTAAAAATGTACACGGGATACAGGATAGATCCATCGTCTGTGCTCTGCAAGACTTACCACTATGATCTGGTCATAGCCATCGTTGAGATTGGCGAAGACAAAGCGCTCCTCAACTGCGAACTCGCCGAAATCGAGTGAGTAAAAATGATTATGATAAAAATACATAATAATTAAACATATTTTTATTCTAATCTCTATCTGGCATTATTGGATATACTTTTTTTGATGGGTGGGAGATGGCTACTGTTTGGAAGATTTTTGTGCCCAGTCCTTTGAAGCACTCCATTACAGCACCGAATCCATTTTTATAATATCAATTAGCAACTGTTAGCTACATAATATCGTGTTTTGTAATTAAACACATTTAATTATTATATCTCGAAAACGTCTTACAACATACATGATGTTATTATCCCTATAATAATATTATACTTTTTAAAGATTTTTTTTTATTGAATATTTTGGCTTAATTTGAACTATATTCCAAAACTTTCAGGGTGGAAGGAACAGTGGGAGCCTATATAGATTAACCTCTACATACTTATATGTTTTTGTAATATATAATACGACGACGTATTATTGTTATTTTAACAAATGTTAGGTACATTATATTATATGTATGGAAATTGTGCAACGATCATAATAAAGAAGTGTACAGCGTATTACTGTATCAGGCTGTACATTTTCTAATATCAAATTCTACGATTGCATACAATTATAAGTTTACGTCATAATTTATTTCATTATTTATAATTTAAAAAAATTATTTCAAAGTTAGGTTCAAATATTGATACAGTTTCTTAGATACATAAAATAAGAACACTAGTGGCAAGTCACTAAACAATTTTTTTTCATTTTTAAAACAAATAAATAAATACTGAATAATAAATTCCTATAATTATAAAATGTTATGCAATTATGCATTTATGCGAAAAATATAATTTCAAAAAGAAATAAATACTCTTTGGGGTACCTAATAAAATTAGTGAAATCCTTAAAATAAGCAGCAAGTAGGAGATGTGGGAGCAGTGTTCATCAGTATAAATTGACAGTGGCCAGTCCTATAACGTCGTTATTTATTTATGTAAATTGAACATTGGTAATTTTATTGTAAATAATGGTAAAGTATGTGATTATACAAAATATTTCATTCTCAATCGTTATAATATTCCTGAAAATTTCACACAAAGTTTACTAACATAAACATGATGTTAGCTTTAAACTAATACTCTGTTAATATTTTTCCAACAGTTCTTGTACCTAAGTGTTGTATCTGCAAAGAGTAGATCTTCCTTGGTTAGATTATTTATTTTATTAATCTAAATATGTTTTAAAATATAGTATGTAATAGCAAGATCTTTATTTAGATACATACCATTATATAGTTTTAAGTTCCCAATTGATAGTCAATAATTATTATATATTTGATAACTTGTTGCGTAAAATGTATTATATTAAAAACCTGGCTGCTGTCTCAAATTCCACGATGGACGATTGACTCGCTTACCACTCTTGCACATTTATAGATACATAAATTTAAATGTGAAAGACATAATAGATAGATATTTTGCCTAGGAGAATAAAAGATTGATTTAATTTTGTAGAACAAATTATATTCTATTTATTATATATAAATTATATATTATGTGTTTTAAATTAATTGTAAAAATAAATTACGTTCATTATCTACAGATATATTTAGTCGTATAGAGGAAATAATGCAAATAATTAGTACATAATATTATGCAAACAATTCATTTTATTGATTGTATTGTCATTTTTAGCAATGA